GTCTGGTCTCTCTATATTATAACCCGATTTAAATGGAATACTTCCTCTCTATCCCTCTCCTGTAATATCAATTTATATATTTTGAAGTTCTATATAGAGTCTAATTTTCCAGTGTAGTAAACTGATTGTGTCCGGGAGATTAAGGATGTGGGAATAAAAACGTAATAAAAAATGTGGTCATTTGAGTTCATGGATAAGCAGTAATCCCTTTTGAAACTTTTAGTATTGACATGGTACATTAATTTCCCCTTTAAACTAGTTTATTCAAATATATCAACTTTAACTGGCAATGCAATTGTGATATATTGTGAAGTTGTATGTAAATTTGCATTCCTTTAAGCTCGAGTTTTCTCTTGAGCACTGCTTATAACAGACGTCTTATTGAAATATTCGGATTTATATAAGCTTATTAAATTCAGATTAATTTTATAAAAAAGGACCATTTCTCACTGTACTGCTGTTCTCATGTTTTTCATACATCTGCCACTTGAAACAGAAGGCTAGATGGGAAAAATCTAAACAATAATTTTCAAAGCAATGTGTCCTTGGTATTCGTGCTGGAATGAATATTCACAGATGTGGCTTTGGTTCGGATAAAATAAGCATTATTATTAGCCTCATGATGCATTCATATAATGGTGGACACGTATCATCGTATAAAGTAATGCAAATCTTGTATGATTTTTTTATATATACTATATATGGGTCATTGTACAAATCAACACATATACAGCATGTAAATAAATAGTTACATATTGGATTGATATTCCTTTGATTTGGTGTCCGTCACTTAAAGCAGGTTAGGATGCGTTAATATTACATAGCAAAAACAAGTTCAAGTATGTAAATGTGGAGTTAAATTATACATTATATAAGTTGTAAGTATTCATCAAATATAATTGATTTAATATTAAAATAGCATTCATATTTAGATCAATATGAATCAATGCACATGCAAACTCACTGTCACATTAATATCAGATTAATAAAAAAATTCAAGTCACGTATACGTTAATATATTATTTCAAATTGCACTAGTGGTTAATTTTACCCCAATATATAATTGCACATTTTAGATCAATTTTTAAGCAAATATTTTGACATGCTTTTTTGGCGTCCGTTAACAAAATACATGGATGTTCACGGCCATACACATAATACGCAAACAATGTTGAACCTAGTGTCCTTTCTGGTTTCCACCCATCAATAACCACATTTGATCAATGCCCGCTAATGGTGCCACTCACCATAACCAATTGAATGCATCATTTAGGCAATGTAAAGTGTGTCACGTATGCACTGGCCAGATCGACAATTGCCATACTAATTGGTCATGCATCGAGGCCACCTAAGCTACTGGTATTGGTTGTGACCGTATCACTTCATTTACAAGTTCAGTTATATAAACAATTTACTGGAGCACCGAGGAGCCTATATTTGATATCTCTTGTCTGGTATGCAGGAGGTCGTGAGTTCAATCCCGACCGTGACGCCTGTGTATTTAGAGTTTGCATGATCTTTCCCTATCGTCATGTGAATGACGATAGGGAAAGGTAGGGAACCTGACATGCCGGTTTTGCCCTTCACATTCAGAAATACGCATTTAGATTATTTGGCTCCGATAAATTCTCACATATGAAAAGCAACTTCTGCCAGCTATCAGTTGTGAGAAGGTCACCTCTACTCAGTGCGTATTACCTAGTAAATACAACAGTAAAAGTTTAGTAATCAGGTATATAATCACGACTGGGAGATATTTCAACGGAAATATATATTTCGGCAGATATGTCACGAAGTTGACAGATCATGCGTAGATCATTTTGCATCTCCAATCATCTGCCCACGGTTCAGTTGCACCTCTCTGTTTAATGTCCCGGTGTTTGCTGGCGTACCCAGTGTACTCATTCAATAACCCATGCTCAGGAGGCATCGTATGTTTCATCTCTCCTGGTTTTGGTGATCCCAGTGACACTCCACAAAGTGGCGCAAGCGGTGGTCTGGTAGATTTTGGTTGGACGGAATTGGCTGCAGCAAACGCGGCCGTGAATTGTTTTTTTTTTGTTCCAGACCCCAGTGATGAACAGCCCACGAGTGCTGCCCTGACAAGGAAACCCTGCAGAGGCAGAACAAACATCCCTTTGCAGAGCAGATATCAGAATTCACCTGAGAGCTTGGAGATTGAACAAGACAGGTCTCAAGAGCTGTGTGATTTAGTTGAAGGAGCAGAATATCGCGCCTTACAATTGCAATAGCCAAAAGCAAGCGGTTGCGTGATGAATTGTAATAGTATCGTTTAGATTAGCCCACCTGCATGGAGTTTTACCAAGAAAGCTTACAATAGAAATGATTTATGAATGACGAATGTTTGTTTGCAGATATTCACCATTCCACACATTTAAGTTAAATTAAATATGCAGCATTATATAACTAAAAGGTGATGACAGTGTACACTTTGTTTTTTTCGGTAAAGTCACGTAGGTAAAATAAAATAAATGAAAACAACTAAATTAAATCACGACGTTTCGGAGGCAACACAAGCTTCCGTCACAGCAAAATTGCTGTGACGGTTTCCACCTGAAGACGGAAGCTTGTGTTGCCTCCGAAACGTCGTGATTTAATTTAGTTGTTGTCATTTATTTCATTTTACCTACGTGACTTTACCGAAAAAAAACAAAGAGTATGAATCCTTGCAGTCACGAAAGCTTCAAATCTAGAATTAAGTGATAACAGTGGTTGTGATCTACCGTGAATTGTATAGGTATAGACATATTTGTATCGGACATTGTGGGTCAAGGTTGTATGGTTGATTGCATTCTTACGGTATTGTTTATACAATTTGATGAGTCCATAGTTAAGATCTATCTGAGCATCTGCATTAGCAATAGATCATGAGGTTCATCAATCACTTGAGGCATTCGTTCTGATGACTAACATCACCGAGAGAAGGTGACCATTAGCTTTTGAGAGCAATCACCTGCGTCTATAGTTATTATAGAAACGAGGAGACCCTTTGACCTTGTCATTTCTGCCATGGGTAGTTTCAGATAATCATCTCAATAAAGACATGAATTTGCCAACATTCCGCCCAAGGCCTTTCACAGCATCGTGGGCTATTGTTTCGCGTTGGAGCCAAGAGGGCATTGATTCTCTCATCTTGCTGGAACAAAGACACTGCAGGTCGTCGGCAGCTTTGTGATGTTTGTAAATGGGGTCTAAGCTACCCACAAAATAAGCATGCATATAGTGCACAGTATTGCTATTTTATGTAGAAATTACAGCTTTATCGATATTTTGTATCTATGAAAATCGGATTTTTCGCATGGACCCAAATTAAAACTGTAAAAACAGTGTAAGATGTTTTAAAAGTAGCAACATGAAAAATAGCTGGATACATTTATTTGGCACTAGCAATTGCAATCTGTCTTTGGCAGATGCTTGTTTCAAGGCAGTGTTACTGTGGGCAGTGGTTCAATCACATAAATATTGTCTGCTTGCCTTCAGGACAGTGCTTGAGTGCTGGCTACTACGTTGTTTTGTCTTCACTAAGTGTGCTTGTGCCAGGTTTTTTTGTATAGGGATTGTGGTAATTATATAATGTTGGGTTTTGGAGTCATGATTATAGCATTTACTTGCTAAGAGGTCTGTTATTTTTCTGAAGAGACGTGTTATATTGTTTAATTAACATTGAACCGTAAGAATCCGAAGGGCACCATTTAGTCTGCCTCTTTGAAGGTCTAACTTTGACACTGCATTCAACGGATCCAAGTGTTTCATCGGCACGGCTCTCTGAATTGCAGGAACTACAACTGACCATATCGTTACCTAAGCAAATGCATTGGTGACGCTGCGTTGAGCAGTGGATGCACAAGCACGATCATTAACAACAAAAACAACTGAACACATTCGTCAATAACGCGGTGGCCTTAAAGAAAAAAAAACATACGTCTTAGGCAATGATCCATCTTCAGCGCACATACGTTACTAATAATACGTAAAAGCATTTAATTATATATTGCATTGCTTTAATTATACCGTCCATTGCATTAATGCATTTTACTGTACACTCTTACTATATTTGCAATATTGTATGATATGTATAAATACAAAAACTAGGATCAGTAAATGTTGATGAGCGTGCTGCGGTAATGCTGCCAAGTAGCACGATGATTGTCCTCTAATGACTGCACTCTGGTAAATAGATGTCTAATGATGTAGATATGGATTTGTTTACGTAGCAACTGCCGTGAAAACGCACTTATGCACTTTAACTGTTTTTTTAAACATCTCGTTTATACCAAATCGGCTCACTGCTACACAACCATTTGCTGATGGCTACCCAGATGCATTTTTCTTGACCACGAAATAAATAGCACAGTTTTCACCCCCCCACACCCCTCGTGACATGAGCCTCTGAGTTGTAAAAGGATTAGCCTGCACAATTTTTACTCACACCATATGCCATCCATTAATCACCTTGACTGAAGCATAATGAGCGTGAAGTAGCGGAGAACAAACAACGGACACATTCGTAGAAAAAAGAGAGACAGATTGCAGTGGAAATGTTCTTAACAAAATGCTTTAAACAAAATGGGAAAACGAAGTACCGTATGAGTTTTATGGAAATAACAAGAACTGTAGTTCAGTGAACTGCATGTTTTGTTTTCAACTCATTTCAACATTGAATAACATTTTTAACAAATAATTTCAGATGGAGTGCAAGCCCATTGTGATGGGTAGTCAGTTGAATAAGTATAAAATGAATGCAAAAAATATTCGTGTGCGGACTGATGACACGTGTTGAAATGGATTTAAATGGAAAATTAAAAATCACCACTTAAAAAATATATATATCCTTGAAAATATGTAGCACGTAAATGAGTGGTCCTTGTTTAAATGCAGGGATGTATTTTCTCCTAATAGCACAGGTAAAGTAGCAGAAGGATGTGTGCGTAATGGAGATAAATGCGTCGATTGTAAATTGGTTGCGTTTCCTCCCACAGAAATCCTGAACGGAGGGGTGTACGTTCGGGAGAACAAACACCTGTGCTTTCAAAACACCATCGAGTGGCGTGAAATTGTAAAGGAAGGGAACATTGTGAACGTGGAGAAGGACAACAGCACCTCCTGTAAGCAAGGGGGTAAGGGGAGAAGGGGTGGCACCGCCCGGCCATTGCTCAGTTTGGCGTGCCAAGGCCGTAATGGGAGTTCTGTGGACACTGCTGCAACACACAGACGCTCTCACCCCCCACACACACACAGCTTGGCCATTCGTCTTGTTGTTCATGCTCAGGTATAGCCCTGAGACTATAAAACGAGCACGATTTAATTAATTAAATAGGATAATAAAGTGTTGTGTCGTGAACTACACTTAATTTAGTTCTATTTCGCTTATATCCTTCAAAAAAAGTAATTGCATTGTTTTTTTTTCACACCTGAAGACGGACCGCTTGTGTTGCGACCGAAACGTCGTGATTTCTTTTATTTTATTACTTTTTTCTATCTACGTGACTTTACTGAAAGAATAAGAGAGTATGTATTGTTTATTTTGGGAAAATAACTTTGTTTAATGTATTTACGGAGACAGTAGATTGTGCTTAAATATACTTTAACACAACATATGTCTTATAGTTTAGTTTACCAATCCCATTTGGCAACCCAGCAGCATTTGTTTAGCAAGCCTGGCTGCTGATGAGACCCAGAAGGTTGAAATTGGTCCAGGGTTTTGTTGTTGAAACCACTGCTGCAAGATAATATTGGTGTAGAAAGCAAATAGGCCAATTAACTAAAACTACTTTCATGTACATGTAGAAATAACACAATGTTGAGCGAATCTAGGTGTAGAAGGCTGCTTTTGGTTAGTGGTGGTTATATAATCCTATATATTTACTGGAGTGTATGCGTCATTTGTCTGGCCAGGTGGCACTATGGTATGTGTAAGGTGTTGGTGATGAATTTGAATCGTCATCCGTCCAGAATCAATAAACACTACTCTGTCAGAAGTCGAGTGTTCTTTCCATGGAGATTAACCCCTTCCATAAGAATATGGAATTCCATGACTGGCTCAGGACCACCGATAGATAATACCAAAATCTAATCCTCATTCGAACGAGGAGATTTAATCACGAATAATCAATTTAATATACTCTACAGGTGTTGTCAATCCACTGCTGGATGTTGGCCTCCCCACAGCTTACCGTGAGGAATATTTGACCATACTTCATCGTGCTGGTCAGTTGTGGGTTGGTGAAGGTGGAAAGGAGCACGTGGCACGAATGGGTCTTACAGCACTGCCCTCTCCTGCCCACAGTGCCGACGACGCCTGCCTCTTGTGAACGGTGGTCACCCAATGATGCACGATTGAAATGGTTCGACCCTTGATTATAATTATCTTCCATGATCCGATGAGATTGAGTGCACTGGTCATGCTCCATCCCAGGTTCAGACATTTAGTGCCAAAGACACAGAAAGCACATCGGTGTTCTTATGTACAATCTGTTTAGCGTAATATTGTTGCCTGCTCTTTTCTTGCAGGCGACCTGTGCTATGGCAGCTGTAATAACCACTGCTGGGGTTCAGGACCTGAATACTGTCAGAAATGTAAGTTAATTACACACAGCAGGTGCGTGCTTATTGAATTGCTCTGAACCTCAGTTGAATCCATTTTAACAAGCGCTTTGAAGTAAAATTTATAAGGTACATAAAAGCACGCACATTTTAAATCAATATCTTCCAGAAATTTTCAAACTTTATTTAGCTTAAGCTTTTAAGCCTGATTAATGTACGTAGAGTTCGAATCAGTGCACAAGTAGAATTTTCGAAATAATGTGGAAATTCCACAATTAATTGTGCCTAATTCACGTGAGACGTTTTTTTTTGGCACGACTGGATAGAGCCTCACTCTGCAACGAATTCCACAATCCATCAGTCGTATCTGGGGGAGTGTCGAGTGTAGCCGAAGCCGTGTGTGCTCAGCTCGTTCGCTCGTTCGCTCGCTCCCCATCTCGACAATGCGAGCAGACTAGTCAGGCTTCATCTGTCTCACACATGAATGCACACGCGTTAATAATGTGTGCGTGTGTGTGAGACTTCCCCTGCCCTCCATCAAGGTGAGTAATTGTATGGCTCTGTCAATTACGTGTTTGCATATTTGCGGTAACTTTCCGCATATGTCAGGTCGCACCTACACCCCATCCAATTGTTGCCATTCTGCAATTGTGCCATGAGTCGTGGTGGAATTTTGACTTTTTTGCGGAATGTTTCATATTTTATGCAGAAATGGCCATTATTCAATTAAATATTGGCAGAGTGATGGCCAAAATACTGTACGCATATAGCTACGTTAATCAGGCCATGCATCGCTTCTGTGGCAGATATGTTACCGAGCCTGTGTGTCCTGCAATGGTCAGGACAAGTTTGATGATTCATAAAAAAAGGAATACAAATCATCGTCAGGTGCACAGTCCCGTGATCACGAGTGCCTCGCATGTTGGTGGAAACCAGAATGCCTCGAACGCCCACGCATACAATTATGAATGTGGACAGATTGTCGCGTAACCCACTTGCTGCATTGTCATATATTTACAACCTTAGTCCAGTGACTAATTCATGTGGAGAATACCAACCTCAACATAATTGCAGAACAAAATATTGGTTTCGAAGAACACACCTACACCAGTGGCAAAGGAGTGTCATCCCAATGACAAGTAACACAGGCTCTCCGAGTGAGCCATCAGGGCTATTCTCTGCCACAACTACATCACTGCAGTTGCTCTCGTTTATGATGATTGAAGAGACCTCTGCTTCATAACTTCAGTTAGTCAAATTAGATTTGTAGGAAAAACGTTGAATGCTTATAAACCACTGGTGGGGTACGTCCCGTCTGGTGTGCTGTCTGGTGTGCTGTCTGGTGTGCTGTGTGGTGTGCTGTCTGGTGTGCTGTCTGGGGGTGCTGTTTGGTGTGCGGTGCCGCATGATGTTTGATGTGTTGTCTGGTATTATGTCTGGTGTGCTGTCTGGTGTGCTGTGTGGTGTGCTGTGTGGTGCCGCGTGCTGTGTGTGTGGTGTGTGGTGTGTTGTGTGGTGCCGCGTGCTGTGTGTGTGCTGTGTGGTGTGCTGTGTGGTGCCGTATGCTGTGTGTGTGCTGTGTGTGTGCTGTGTGTGGTGTGTGTTGTGCTGTGTGGTGCCGCGTGCTGTGTGTTGTGCTGTGTGGTGTGCTGTGTGGTGCCGCATGCTGTGTGTGTGCTGTGTTGTGTGCTGTCTGGTGTGCTGTGTGTTGTGCTGTGTGGTGCCGCGTGCTGTGTGTGTGGTGTGTGGTGTGCTGTGTGGTGCCGCCGCGTGCTGTGTGTGGTGTGCTGTGTGGTGTGCTGTGTGTTGTGCTGTGTGTTGTGCTGTGTGGTGCCACGTGCTCTGTGTGTGGTGTGTGTTGTGCTGTGTGGTGCCGCGTGCTGTGTGTGTGGTGTCTGGTGTGCTGTGTGGTGCCGCGTGCTGTGTGTGTGGTGTGTGGTGTGTTGTGTGGTGCCGCGTGCTGTGTGTGTGCTGTGTGTTGTGCTGTGTGGTGCCGCGTGCTCTGTGTGTGCTGTGTGGTGTGCTGTGTGGTGCCGCGTGCTGTGTGTGTGCTGTGTGTTGTGCTGTGTGGTGCCGCGTGCTGTGTGTGTGATGTGTGGTGTGCTATGTGGTGCCGCGTGCTCTGTGTGTGCTGTGTGTTGTGCTGTGTGGTGCCGCGTGCTGTGTGTGTGCTGTGTGTTGTGCTGTGTGGTGCCGCGTGCTGTGTGTGCTCTGCCTCGGCAGTCACCCAGCTGCTGTGTGCGAGGCAATGTGACGGCCGCTGCTATGGACCGAGCCCCAGTGAGTGCTGCCATTCCCAGTGTGCGGCCGGCTGCTCGGGGCCACGGGACACCCACTGCTTTGTGAGTTCTGCATGCACGCACGCACTCATTCTGCGTGGCTGTGGAGCGTCAAGAGAGAAACCCCCTATTCTATAAGCACAACTCTGTTCTGTGTCTCCGCACATTGTACTAAGCGCATATACTTTAGGCAGCTTATCGGCTTTCGAGACCAATGCTAAATAGGTACATTTGTTGAAGCAGGGTAATTCTGCAGCAGTTTTGACCTTCTGTCTCTCATCAGCAGAGTCAGGTTTGTTAAACAAATGCTTCTGGGTTACTGGATGTAATCGACAAGATACATTCACGTACACTATTGAGCCGGGTTCAACGCACAAGGCAATGTTGCATACAAACTCAACATATAGTGCTGTGGGCACCCCAGTTTCCTGGGCACCCCAGTCTTAGTGCTCAGTATGGAATTCTTGGGAACACTGCTTAGTTTGATTCACGTTGTTTTTATTCTCGCTATCAGCCAGAGAAGCAATATCATCGCCAGCGACAACGGCAGTATCATCATCATCATCATCGTTGTCGACTTAATTCTCATGAGCATGATTAACACCCATGAATTACCATGAACTGTCTCTGAATGTTCCATCATCATCATCATAATTGTCTTCTTCTTCATCATCAATGTCATATACACGTAATTGGGAGCCTCCGTTTGGCCATCAAGAACTTGCTAATAAGTTCTCTTACGAAAAATATTACAGAATGAACTTGCCAAACACGCCCACGTTAAATTTTGTGGAATATATTAAACTATTAAACGTAACTATTTTTAGTTTACCAGGTTTGGTCCCACTGAGCTACACTGCTTTTTTTCAGAAGCGACCTGGCCACAAGTGATAGCACAACGAAGTGGCTTGTCATGTGGAAATGTATTGCGGCAAAATACTCTAAATGCGAATTGATTCTAAATGTGGAGGGAAAAACCAGAGGACCCGGAGAAAAATCCACACGGACACAGGAAGAGCACGCAAACTCCAAATATACAGCAGCAGGCATCAGGGTTGGGATCGAACCCACGACCTCGTGTGTGCCAGGCAAGGTAGTTAACATCTCGCCACCCTGGTATGAGTGGCCATGCCCTCTTAGTGGTCCCAACACAAGCCAATCCATCAACGCACGATTGATGTAATTCTGCACAACGGTAAAAAAAGGTTTTCACATCCTCGTTTAACAATTCAACCCCTGCCCTGACCCCACCCACTTTGGATCACTCCGCAATTTTTGCACAAAACGTAGCAGCACGGTTGGGTTTTTGTGTGCAATCACCCACACATGAATTGCAAATTGCAGAATTTAAACTTTCAGATTTTGTATGAAGATGGCTGCAATGTTCACATTAGGTGGTGGATTGATGGTCGAAAAACTTTAAATGAATTTGGCCCACTGACTCAAACTTACGAACAAGTGACATCTCTGGTGGCTGCTTGGGTACACTTGTGAGTCTCGTGCCTCACGGTGTGGTTTTGTTGTGTGTGCAGGCCTGCAAGAACTTCAATGATAGCGGAGCCTGTGTGAGCCACTGCCCCCCACCTATGATCTACAATCCTGTGAGTTTCCAGCTGGAGGAAAATCCCGACGTCAAGTACAGCTATGGGGCCATCTGCGTCAAGGAGTGTCCACGTATGACACATTCAGTACAGCTAGACCTGCACCATGCTTTTGCACTGAATCGTTAAAAACATTTGCTTATCCCTGATGGGTTGCCCACATCAGTTACAAAGCAGAGTTCTGTTCCATTACCCAAGCCCCCTACTGACAGTGGAACAACGTGACCTCTTAGGGGCCAGGCACACCATCTCCCCTACTGTGACTTCAATGAGTTTTTCCTTACCTGCCTCCTTAGTAGCTACATTCTGGCTTTGTTAGGGATTGTCCTTTTTTTCCTTTCATAATATATTGTCTGAGCTGAGTGTGACTGAATTAAGTAAAAAAAAAATGGACATGGTGACCATGGTGACCATGGTGACCATGGTGACCATGGTGACCATGGTGACCATGGTGACCATGGTGACCATGGTGACCATGGTGACCATGGTGACCATGGTGACCATGGTGACCATGGTGACCATGGTGACCATGGTGACCATGGTGACCATGGTGACCATGGTGACCATGTCCATAAAACATCACGTGTCCAGTAGGCCTGTGAATGCCTCCCAACTTTACGACTTGGTAAAATGCCACGATTCGGGGTTGTGATTTGACTCAGGCATACTTTTATTTCTTAAATTATGGTGCAATGTAGCATTTCAAGTGGCTGCAGGGGTCACGTGAACTACGGTAATTATATGCAGCAAATGTGAATCTAAAGTAATATATTCACACACGACGCATGCATTGCGAGTGCAAGAATTGAGTTCCATCAATGCATTGTGTGTGATGAACCCAGCATATTTGGAAGAGATTGTTCACTTGAAAAAATCTTTCAACTGACCTTTTTTATCCTCTGCACAGTAGGGGGTGCACCTTCCCATGTACTCTGCAATGAGATTATTGTATTGCAATGAAATTGACACTTTATTTTTAAAGCTGGCATTCAACCAAGGCAAACACAAAAAAACATCGTACATGGTGGATTCTTGTGCATGCATTGATCACCAGACTTAAGTATTTAAACTGATTTAAGCTGAATTACACTGGTTTAATTATTGCGTAAAATAAAGCCTCCGTTCATCAAAAACGAAAATGAACTAGGGGTAGAGCCATTCAAAATTAAATTTATTTTTGTTTGTTTATGTTTCAAATTCTCATGCATGGCAGACACATGACGCTCCGTAAAATCTTGTTTATATGGAGACCCTGACTTACTTCATCGAAATGTTGACACTGAAGTCTAAATGTCCGTAAATTTTCACCCTGACACAAACAATGACATTTTCGACCCCAGCAGTGCAACCGAGGATCTTTCTCATCCCCCCAGGAATCTCCCAGCCACAGCCCTGCTTAATGTCCCCTGCAAGGACAGCGAGGTCGCTGTTATTTTACGTGTTGCTGTTATCAGGCACCTCAGATTATTTCTCATACTGATGAGCCGTGGTCATAGAGCTTGAATGGCACTTTTGTGATGCTTTATCTTCTTCTTCTGCACATTCGGTGGCAATCTCAGCAACACCACCAACACTGCACCCTGCTTGGAGGAGCTGTCGTTACAGCACTTGACTCCTAACATCACGTTGAGGTTGAGTCGGGGGTCAACCTGGCCTAGCCCTTTAGAGCTACTGGACCCCACCATGGGAATGTGGAATTTCCATCACTGGCTCAGGAGACGAGCGCCAACCAATGCTCATTACAGAATGAAGAGACTTTTAATTGACTGATACTAATATGACGCATGCTACTAAATGTAACAATACAATCGGTATTTACAGAAGCATCTAAATGAATATACATCTCAAAACGTGATACAAAAAGCAGGACATGCACTGTGGAGATGAATAGAGGTGTATTTACGCGTCACCCTCGCTATTTTGCATGGATTCGCATCTGCGCAGTATTTAATTTTACTCCCAAAAAAATCGGAATTAATTTTTCCAAACTCTGACAGATAATGGATTGTATAAATTCTGGTATGATATTCATATTTTATCTCATTATTAAGAGTCCATAACGATATCAGTACTAATAGTATATACCAGTTACCCAAGTTACTGCAACTGCCAATTGCACTGCATGAATCCTATGATCTTATAATTCAAAGTTACTATATCAACTTCTTTGGTTCTTTCGGTAAAGTCACGTAGAATGAGAATAAAATAATAAATTGATAAAATAAAATAACACAATAACATTCTCACGACGTTTCGGCCACAACACAAGCGGCCTTGTGTTGTGGCCGAAACGTCGTGAAAATTGTATTGTGTTATTTTATTTTATCAATTTATTATTTTATTCTAATTCTACGTGACTTTACCGAAAGAACCAAAGAAGATGAATCCTTGCAGTTACGAAAGCTTTAAATCGAAATTTACTATATCAAATTGGGATTGTGCATGTTTATTGGGGTTATGGCCTTAATTACGTGAAACCTTCATAAACCATTGTGTGGTCACAGCTGGATGGATGCCTCTCAAAGTCATCGCCTTATCTCACGGTCTTGCATTGCAAAAATCCGTCTAGCACCTGCACATGGGCTAATTCCATCAGTCCATCTCCATGGTGGGCCTCCTCTCGGGCACATTCCATCCTTGTGTTGCCACTCGATTGTTAGTCTTGACGGCCGGTCATCATCCCTTCGAGTGACGTCTTCTAACCAACGCACACTTTGTTTTAATTAACAATCAATGCGATTTTAAAACAAACCTTTACGCTTCTCAATAAATGTGTTTATACAGTTTGGTAACACACTGCTTTTGATATGAGCCACATGCTGATGGTTCCACAAATCTCAAATCGCTACTTCGAAACGCCGTTATAGGCACACGCTCCCTGCATAACTGTGATAGGTGATGCTGCGCAGAGCATTTGACTCGAAAATAGAAATTTGGACGTTCAAATTCTCGTTGGGAATCAACTCAGCCCATCATTGCTGTGAGGGCCAATACAAAATTCAATGGTTGTCCCATGGAGAGAATGGTCTCCACCACAGGAATATGGCATTTTCACCACGAGCCAAGTGCCGCCAAGAGAGATGGCCACTGCCCAACACTCACCTGAGCACCGAACACCTGTTCCTCGACTCGATCGCCCACGTTGTTGGTGACGTGCACGTTGATTGTTTTTTTTTTAATTCATCGAGTAAGTCGAGAAAACGGTTGCGGTGATGTCCGTGCCCGTCTCTGCAGATAACTTCGTGGTGGACTACAACTCGTGTGTGCGAGCCTGCCCGGCTGGCAAGCACGAGGTGGAGAAGCAGGGCAAGAAGAAGTGTGAGAGCTGCACTCGCATCTGTCCCACCAAAGGTAGGGAGATGATGGGGGGGGGGGGACACCTCCATCCCTACTCCCACACGAACTCTCGCGAGTCGTTGTTTGTGTCCTCCACGACTTGCGCCTGCACCCTGAAAGGGGGCACAGACCTCCGTTGCATCGCGGTTCTCGCGTGCAACCGCACATGCGTGGCCGCTGCGAATTGAAAGCGATGAAGATGTGACAGAGCGTTGCCTCGGTGTCGCGTTAATGGGGTCTTGTTGTTCTGAGAACACTTCGCCGACACTGCAGATATTCTGCGCTCAGCTTCTTTGAATCCTGCGCATCCACGGAGATAAAAAAACATCTTCATTAGTGCAGCCCAGCACCTCACCGCATCCTCACTGAATGTTCAGAGTCAAAGCATCTGTCTCCCCTGTTCAAAGGGACAGAGGGCCGTTGACCATCATCCCTTCGTGGCCCTGAGCCAGTGGCAGAAGTTCCACATTCCAGTATTTTGTGGCAGAGACCTTCATAACATCAGTTGTTGCACTGCCGTCGATCTCAGCTCTGACGGCTCATGAGGAAATATTGGCACAGAACAAACCGCTGAGCAGTGTTGCTCAAGAATGCAGATTGGTATTGAACAATGTCGCGGTTGCACTGCATGGCTCGCCAATGTGTGTACCCCGTTCGGCATGGTGTCTAACGTTTCGCTCAAGATACAAAGAGCAAAATGTTGGACATCGATGCCGACCAGCACGTGGTTCAGTCCGAACGCACATCGGAGAGCCTGAAGGAGGTGTTTAATTTCGCGTGACAAAGCTGGTCTGTCATTGTCTAATGTTGTAGTCGCTACTCTTGTTTTTTTTGTTTGTGATGTTATTATTGACGTAACCTATACAGCTGCCCTTTAAAATCAAGACTTCAGCCTTCTGCTTGGAACTAAACAATGCAAGCAGAGTGAGACCTCCTTTGCCAGTAGCAAAATATGATGTTTGCATTAACTTGTGGTTAATGCAAACATAATCCCTTGTTAAAAGGTGTCAGTTTTGTTGCCAGATAAAAGGGTAAAAACCTATTATCAATCCAAGCAGAGGTTGGTACCCACTCAAGTTGCCAATTGCCTCCCATACCATATCTCAACCACCACAGGGGTTGTGTTAACAATGTACACCAAGCTGTGACCACTGAGAATAGGGCACGGTGTGAATTAATAATTAAACAGATGGTACATCCCAGGCAATGCTGGCCAGAGATGCAGACACGGGGCGGTTAACCGATACCGCAATTATCTGTGTTTGAGACTCCCACGCACACGACACCCCAATGTTTTAATTGAATAAACTAAATTAATTGAATTGCCTGTCATCCTGCTGAGTTACTTAACAATCAGTCACATTGCTAGATGACGACTGGTTAATCTATAAACATTGATATTGGACCTAGGGCTCTGTTACGTTGTAGCTTTAGTTGCACTGTGATTATTCGCTTTGGTGTATTCGCTTTGTGCAGTGACGTACCATGGCAGTGCTCGTAGCTCCAAAAGCAGAGGAACCATTCCAGGAGGGTAAAGTGAAACTCACTTATGGGGGAGCCAGGATTATTAAGTGCCTAGCTTCATATATTATTGGACATTCTTTTGAAATAACAACAGACTATCAAAATTAAGCACAGCCGAGCTCATCGAAATCAGAGTATTTAATTGTACTGCAGGAGGAATCAGATGAGCTATAAAGCTCTTTTTTCACACATGTTCCAGTCGGGGGTGGGGAGGGGGGGTTAGACGTTACAACAATAAACAAAAAAATACGATAGGAGTGCAAAGTATAGGCAAGGTAAACAAACCACTTCAAATATACACAAATAAACGTTTAAAAAATATATCATCCGGTAAAGTCAACTGAGCTATTCACTTGTATTTCAGAAGCGACCTTGCCACAAATGATAGTTCAACAAAGTGGCTCATCACGTACAAGTCATCTGAGTACTGCAGTGATAAATAAAGGCTGTGATGTGTTGAGAAATGATGGCAAGGGAGATTTCTATTCTTGGATCGGATTCATGCATTCTTAGCTCCATTAACCGTGTTAGTTTGAATTCAAGCCACCCTCATTCAAAATTCATGAAAAACGAAATATATAGGAAATATATGTCACATGTTCAAATGTCCCACGCAAAGGGGAAAATTATACTTTTATATTAAAGTTCACGAATGACTGAAATGAATGAGGAATGTGATTAATATTTAGGGTTTTTTTTTTTCTTGCTTTTTTACGTGGCCTTGAATATCACGGCACAGGTGGTTTTGGATGATGATGTCCGTCAAGTGGGCTGGGTGGGATCCACGCGAACACGATCACGGAGGCTTCAGTAAGAAATGGTTCAGGGTAGAGCAGTGTGAAGCTGACAGCTACAGCGTGCTGACCGAGGAGTTAAGGAATGCGCGCGGATGACCCCTCTGGTTGCAGCGTGCGATGGCATCGGGACCGGAAACTTGAGCCACGCGCAGACCGTGGACGCTTCAAACATCGACACGTTTGAGAACTGCACAAAGATCAACGGGAACATCGCCTTCCTCGTCACCGGCATCAAGGGGTACGCAGTCGGAGTTGTATTCTCGCATGTCCAGCGTTTGACTCCAGCCCCTGCGCTGTTACCGTCTGCTGGTTGGCAATGTACGTGTGGGATGTAACCGACACGCGCTGGGAGGTCACCATTCGTTCTCTGCTGCGCTCAATGTCTTTCCCCTGCCTTCCCCTTGGCCATCCGCACTGCTGACTCAACGCCGTTCAACTTCGGGCGTGTGACGGAGCTCTCAATCTAACATTTTATTTTCTGCTTGATGAGACTCGTAGTTTTTGTTCTCTCTCTCTCTCTGACCTCGGTAACCTTTCATTCTTGTTTAAAAACAGACAAAAATGTACAATACGTTTGTTCTTCACGCTTAGATTTTTCCCCATCTTCAATAAATCAGCCCTCCGGTATCTTGTAGAATATCTAAAAATGCATTGTTTTCAGACTATTTATACTGCATATTATATGATATCCATCATATTTTATATTGATGGGAATGTTTAGCCATATGTTTAAATACACACAGGTATTGAGAAGCCTTAACTCCAATTACTTTATTCTCATCAGCACGCTTGATGAATTCATAATGAACTTTATAATCAGGGGCAGAGCCACAGGGGGGGCTGGTGGGGGGCTTAGCCCCCCTTGAAATTTTTGGGAAAGTCGGTATCAGGATAACTGGATATCCGGCTGCTGCAAAATGCTACAGGCTGCCACCTTGTGCTGCCCTGCAGGCTGCCACCTTGTGCTGCCCTGCAGGCTGCCACCTTGTGTGCTGCCCTGCAGGCTGCCACCTTGTGCTGCCCCCTTGTGCTGCCCTGCAGGCTGCCACCTTGTGCTGCCCTACAGGCTGCCACCTCGTGCTGCCCTGCAGGCTGCCACCTTGTGCTGCCACCTTGTGTGCTGCCCTGCAGGCTGCCACCTTGTGTGCTGTCCTGCAGGCTGCCACCTCGTTCTGCCCTGCAGGCTGCTTGAGCGGCAGCCTTTCGAACTTATCGAACTTATTAGCCACATCAGCGGCTCCGACCTATTAATAAACTCCGCGTTCAAATCCAATAAAATTTGTTTTATACATTTGTGGGGCCCATTGGAAAACATAAACACTGGATATCTCACAATATTGAAGTCAGCCCCCCCAAAGTCAAAATCCTGGCTCCACCCCTGCTTATAATGCAAACCATAATGCCTAATGGAGTTTAATAATTGTCCATTATTGTCTCCTCTGTTGTTTATTTACTGCAAATTAAATTGCTATTTTGGTTTGCGTTTAAATCAGTCACTCTACATAGTATTAAATTATAATTTACGTGAAATGCAGCATCATGCATCGGGGCTTCATGTCTTTGATGCGCTACATGAGAGCTATATTTACAGCTCTACCTACTGAGAGTCTAACGAGACTGCAAAGAACATTCAATGCAGTACTCAGTCAACAATAACCCCCCCCCCCCCCCCATAGTCCTGAGACAGCTTGTCGCGTCAATGTTTTTTTTTTCCGAGTGAATGTGATAACGCTGGAAAGTTTTGTGACCGAGTGTGCATTGTGATGAAGTGCTACATCTAGACAAATTGCAACATTGTGGAATTGGGGACAGTTTACTGGTCTGGAAGAGTTCCAGTTCACGTGCAACTCTGATACGCTTTGTAGTGAACAAAAGGCACTTTACAAGTAAAATTGCCCACGGAACAAGAGAGGATCACTCTTCCTTACGTATATTTGCCCGTTTCCGTGCGTACCCAATGTTGCATTTCTGGCATTATTGCGTCTGTATTATTTATGTCCATTGCATTAGCATCTATATTGAGTTATTGTTTTGCATTGCATAATGCGATCTATTTATTTATCTGCCGGTGCCAGGTTACATAATGCATGCACAATGGAGAACGTGGAGTTGTAATCTCCTCCAAGACACAGCGCACGATATGGTGCTGGTGGTTCTTTGATGGTGGTAGTTTGTGCTTTTTGGAGGCTCCTAAGGCCGCAGATAATAGTAGCAAATCCAAATATTATTTGTTGTATATTCATTTGTGATGTTAATTTTTATTTTTTATTGTTTTCAGGGATTCGTACATGAAAATCCCTCCCCTTGAACCTGAGAAGTTAAATGTGTTTCGCAGCGTCAAGGAAGTCACAGGTAAACTAAAGAAAAAAATAAACACCGTTCATTGTTCATGGGTTGTTGTACTTTTTGATTTCTGTAAACGATATAGCGTATAGGTTGTATGGATAATTGCATATGTGGTTGCCTTGAGCAATGGAAAAGAGGTTATTTATTTTGGGTGAGTTTTATTGAAATACTCAAAATGAACAAACTGAAAACGAAGGGATTTCGTTCATTTCAGAAAACAGCACAATGAATGTATTAAATAGGTGACTGATAATTTCAACTACCCGACAATCAATTATTAAGAGTGCTCGTGTATTTGTTTTCTTGCAAAGTTCACACGAATACCAGTGTTTTTTTTTGTTACTCTGTAAACTAAAGGACTCTTAATTCTAAACATTTAACGAATGTGGACGCTTACAAATATGGATTCGTTACATGAACCACATCGCAGCTATTTTGAACATTGGCCACAAAGTCCTGCTCGGCTTGCCACAATCTGCATGGGTGCTAATGATTTCCTCTGCGACTGTGCAACAAAGTCCCCGCTGTTAAAGCCTTTCATTGCAGAGTGAGACCACCATCGTCAACAAACAATCCCTTAACAAATCCTGCCTCGTTACAAAACGTAATAGTCATAGATTATTCATCCATCCAGGGAAGTGGCCGTGAGTCGAGAGATTCATATTCAGGAGGCCTTGTATACAAATGGACAGCACTTAAACGTCCACACAGATGGGATACACACACACACACGTGATTTACTGCCATTTTCTAAAATAACTTAAGGAATCTCGTTCATTTTGTGATATTTGCATGATTCGCCAACTCTGCCTCAATTGCTTCATTAGAGGCATGTACTACTACACCAACAACGTGTGTTTCAGTTTTATGGCAGCGTTTGTTTACCGACACTCTAAGTAAAATATGTTCAGCCTCTCAGCCTGTTACTTAACCAGTGGCGATACCATTCTTTTACATTTTTACCAGCGAATGTATTTCCATACCTAATTTTTCCATGCCCAAAAAAAAATTGCAGCTACAAGCATATAATTAGGGCTACAAGTAGTTTTAGTCATGAACAAAGCACATTGTAATGGCTTTAAAGTAAAACATGTATTATTGTGATTTTTTTGCAGGCTATTTGATGATCCAGGCCTGGCCACAGAACATGACAGACTTCGGGGTGTTTGAGAACTTGACCACAATTCGTGGCAGAGTTTTACAAAGGTACGAAGTCTAATGGCCTTGACAGATTAGACTGCATGGACAGCTTGTTCCATATTGGTGCCCTGTGTTTTTCAGAAATTCCTCCTATTACCCTGTGTGTACTTTTCATGTTTATTTTTAAATATCCAATTAATTGTATTTCATTTGTAAAAAAAAATGGAAACATTACTTTTTAATAAATATATTCATATTCAAAATGCATGCAATACTTTGCATAGTTTTTCAAGGTATATTGGTAGAAACAGCCTACTTGAAACAAAAAAGTTTAAATGTTTATGATCCTAGTAGGATTGCAGTCACAGTCAAATCTTTAAGTCAAATGTAACAAGAAATGTATGTTCCATGAACGTATCCTTGAGCTGGACTGATTGGCCAATTAGTTTTTTTTATTACAGTAGTATTATTATTGTTGTCAGAGTTTGAATTATGAAGTACCCAAGCATGCTAATGCAAATGATGTGGATTTACAACCTAATAAATATAAGTTGAGTGTTCTGTCATTGTACTACCTTTTTATGGAGCATTAGTATAACAAATAATTCCTAAAAATCCAGATTCCGTCACAGTCTGTGCTGATACAGGTGGTTCTTAACTGGTTATTCCATAAGTTAGGTGTTGTATAGATGTTAAACTTATTTCCCACCGTACAATGTTCAAAAATGTTTTTATTTGTTAGCATCTGTTCCTTCATATTCCACTACCCTACACCCTCAAACTCTCTGTCATCTACCATCCACCAAAGCCAAATGCAACCTTCACGTCTGACTTTCAAGTTCTAACCTCTAACTCAGTTCTCCCTTGTCCACTCATCTTTACCAATAATTATTTGAACATTCATGTTGATGATCCGTCTAATGGTATCTCAAACTTCTTCCAGTCACTCTTGGCAAACATGGATCTGTCTCCTCTCCTGCTCGCTCTCATGGTCACGCTCTCAATCACGTCATCTCCAACACCAAGTCCATCTTTCTCACAATAAGTGGCACCAGTCACTTTTGGTGATCACCACCGCACGAATAGCTCTTTTTCCATACCTAGGCCATCTCCTTTCAAGGCTTTTTGTCATAGCCCCCAGACATTCCTCACCCAGCGCCAGGTCGCTTTTCTCCTCTGCTGTCTCCACATTGCAGAGCCCCATTCCCCCAGAGGTGTAACAGTGGTGAGTTGTCACCCACCTCGCCTGGTACACAGGAGGTCGTGGGTTCCATCTCGACCCTGACACCTGCTGCTGTATATCTGGCGTTGGCGTGTTCTCCCGGTGGCCTCGTGGATTTTTCTCCGGGTCCTCCGGTTTTTCCTTCCACATTTAAAATCAACATGCGTTCAGAGTATTTGGCTGCTATAAATTTCCACGTAATATGCCACGTCGTTGGGCTATCATTTGTGGCCAGGTCACTACTAACAAAAAAAGCTATATAGCTAAGTGGGCCTTACCTGGTAAAATACAAATAAAATAGTGGAGTTTTAGTTTACTATCTGTGTTGTCGATCCCCTGTACCTTTTCTAGCCGAGCCTCAAGACCTTCCCCTTTCCCTCTGCCTATGACTGAACGTCTATTTTCAAATAAATACATGTCCGTCCGTTTCCTAGGGTTGCCCGCATTCCACTGTTTTGGTGTAGTTTCCCGAGATGCCGCTTAATCGAGACAGGTCGATTCCAACCGATGACGGTGCTCTGTGTCAATCCCTTCAGGGGCTTCTCGCTTCTCGTGGCACGTATTCCCACGGTGACGGCGCTCGGCCTGGCATCGCTGCACGAGATCAGCGCCGGCAACGTCTACTTAAAGCAGAACGAGCGCCTCTGCTACTACAACACCATCAACTGGACGTCGGTGTTCATGAGCGAGCGACAGACACCCTTCATCCACGACAACAAGCCTCCCCCCAACTGCAGTGCGTGTATCCCCCTTGACTGCCACCCTCTGCTTGCCATTCACAAACGAGCCTGGTTATTATTTAAGCAAGAAGGCCTCACTGAAAACTAATTTCCTTAGAGCTGCTTTTTATGTGTTTAGTTTGTTGTCCTTCTGCCTCCGCACTTCCGATTAGCGCGGTTGGCTACGTGCAGCGCGAAAGAAGTTCAATGTACGTACACACATGTGGGAGTACCCTGCAGTGGGAAGCTTGGCCAAATTGTCTTAATGCATGTTTCGCAAATGGTATCGTAAACCACATAATCCAAAGGAGACCAATGCATGGGCTAAAACCACTCAAAGCTTTGCATGAATGGGTCATGGGCCCCCTTTCTCCACTGCCATCTCCTAGCCAGATAGCATCCCAGCGTATGGGGGGTCTTACAGATTATCTTCTCTGGATGAAACACCAACGCTGCCCCAAAATTACTGAATCGATCAAATGGCTACGCCACGGCTACCACTTTGACTTTCTAATCTCACACCCAGATTTGGGGTCTGGTGCACATTGCAGTATTTGTATGTTATAGCAATCCTGTCTCCGCTGGAACACATTAAATACTCGGGAGATCTAAATGTAGCGTCTGATATTCAAACATTACCATGTGGCATGTGTGGCGCTGATATATTCTGCCTGGAATATATACAGCTGATCGTACAGCTTAGTGGCATACACCACTCAAAGTGAATGGCGTGTGAAAGTGTCACATTCAAAGCACTTCGTCAAAGTTAAAATGAGAGCAGCCCGTTTTTAGCCGCAGCTTTTAGCGATAGGAACCTGACATGGTTTTGAAGATCATTGCCAAAATTTCATTATGGAACCATCTCTGACTGCTGAGATATGCGATACAAAGTGAAAGTAAACTGCAGGTTAGTCCTCCCTTTGACACCCTTGATGAGTCTCACCGACAAACAATTACAATTACCTCTCTGCATATGTGCACAGCAGTCGTATGCGCTTGCATCCATACACACACACACACACACCGACACATCTGTTCACATGTGCGTGCGCGTGTGCACACGCGTGTGTACGTATGCCCCTTTGCGTGTGCAGCCTCAGAGGGCATGCTGTGTGACCCTTTGTGCTCGAACGACGGCTGCTGGGGACCGGGCCCTGACCAGTGCATCTCCTGCAGGTTCTTCAGCCGTGGGCGCGCCTGTGTGGAGGCTTGCTACACCGCCAGTGGGTGAGGGGAATGCCACCACGATACAATAAGGGACACATGGTCTCTCGCGTTGCGCTCCTCACACGCAGAACCTTCCCGAGGAACTTTACAATTACATAGAGCAAAACAAAAATTGGCTCATCAATCCAGTTTCAGGATAAGCAAATGAAAAAAATATGTTGACATTTCACTTAAAATGTTATTGGGTCTGCATTCCTGAAATTGATATAACCTATAAACTCACCCATTTGCCTCATCACTCACCCACCCACCTACCCACTCACTCATTCATCCACTCATTGTGCCAGCAACATTCCTGCTATGGTTTGGGATGGGGTTCCAAAGGCAGAGAGCATAACTGAAGCCCCTCAACCCTTCTGATATTAAACACCTCGGAATCAACAACAGTTTAGCATTCACTGATCTCAAGGTGCGGCTGAGCACATAATGTACCACTAAACCCTTCATAATGTACCACTAAACCCTCCATAATGTACCACTAAACCCTCCATAATGTACCACTAATCCCTCCATAATGTACCACTAATCCCTCCATAATGTACCACTAAACCATCCATAATGTACCACTAATCCCTCCATAATGTACCACTAATCCCTCCATAATGTACCACTAAACCCTCCATAATGTACCACTAAACCCTCCATAATGTACCACTAAACCCTTCATAATGTACCACTAAACCCTCCATAATGTACCACTAAACCCTCCATAATGTACCACTAAACCCTCCATAATGTACCACTAAACCCTTCATAATGTACCACTAATCCCTCCATAATGTACCACTAATCCCTCCATAATGTACCACTAATCCCTTCATAATGTACCACTAAACCCTCCATAATGTACCACTAAACCCTCCATAATGTACCACTAAACCCTTCATAATGTACCACTAATCCCTCCATAATGTACCACTAATCCCTCCATAATGTACCACTAATCCCTTCATAATGTACCACTAAACCCTCCATAATGTACCACTAAACCCTCCATAATGTACCACTAATCCCTCCATAATGTACCACTAAACCCTCCATAATGTACCACTAAACCATCCATAATGTACCACTAATCCCTCCAGATCTCACACGCTGCAGCTACTGCGGCCTGTTGCTCTTGCAATAAAATATATTCCATATTCAAAACGAGAATTTGTATTCCATTTTGTTAGTTGTTGCATTCAGAGTTATTCCAGATTTGATTTGAAAAGTTAAATAAATGTATCAATACAGAAATATATTTTTCATACGGTATGTAGGTATACATGCGTGTGTAATGCGTGATTAACTGTGGCTCATTTGACAATGCATTATATATAAGCTGACTAATAATGTATTTTGAGATAATAGAACCCCTTCTGAGTTTGTGGGTTCAGATATGGGTTGGCAAACATGATTCAAGTAGGTTCGTATGGGTTATGAGTTTGTGGGTTCAGATATGGGTTGGCAAACATGATTCAAGTAGGTTCGTATGGGTTATGAGTTTGTGGGTTCAGATATGGGTTGGCAAACATGATTCAAGTAGGTTCGTATGGGTTATGAGTTTGTGGGTTCAGATATGGGTTGGCAAACATGATTCAAGTAGGTTCGTATGGGTTATGAGTTTGTGGGTTCAGATATGGGTTGGCAAACATGATTCAAGTAGGTTCGTATGGGTTATGAGTTTGTGGGTTCAGATATGGGTTGGCAAACATGATTCAAGTAGGTTCGTATGGGTTATGAGTTTGTGGGTTCAGATATGGGTTGGCAAACATGATTCAAGTAGGTTCGTATGGGTTATGAGTTTGTGGGTTCAGATATGGGTTGGCAAACATGATTCAAGTAGGTTCGTATGGGTTATGAGTTTGTGGGTTCAGATATGGGTTGGCAAACATGATTCAAGTAGGTTCGTATGGGTTATGAGTTTGTGGGTTCAGATATGGGTTGGCAAACATGATTCAAGTAGGTTCGTATGGGTTATGAGTTTGTGGGTTCAGATATGGGTTGGCAAACATGATTCAAGTAGGTTCGTATGGGTTATGAGTTTGTGGGTTCAGATATGGGTTGGCAAACATGATTCAAGTAGGTTCGTATGGGTTATGAGTCCACTACCTCTGCTTGGTTACCAGTCGCTGCACAAGAAAATAAATAACAAAAAAACTTTAAAATTAGAATGTAACTATCTATGGTAAAAAAGCGTTTGAATTCCAAGTCTAATGCTGACAGCAGCAGTTGGTGTGACTGCTGATGTTGGTCTTCTCTTTCCCAGACCCTATCGGGAGTTTGTGGATGGATCAACATGTGTGCCCTGTGACACCGAGTGTCTGCAGTTCAATGACTCAGCTACCTGCTACGGACCGGTGAGTAACAGATGAGCACAAACAACATTTTGTGACACGGTGCAATATGCGAGTGCCGTACTGAGCGCTGTTTAAAACAATGTGCTTTTGTTGTTGGCAATGTTCACTCGCTATTTGGAGTGAGGAGGGGGGGGGGGCAGTGGGCATTCCACTCGATAAAGCACCAAGCGCGGCCTGCGATGTCGAGACACACGCGCACACGACAAAGTTCTGAAGCAACGTTTCTATCAACTATGCGCGCCTGAACCGGAGTAGCTGCGCGTGACGAGACGACTCGCCCCCCCCCCCCCCAATCAGGGCTGATAAATCAAGCAGCCGATTGTGCATGCGGCGCATGTGAAGTCAGTTCGCAATGGCCCACAAAGCCGCCAACAGAAGATCTCTCCCCCCCGTGCCCTATGAAGCCCGTGCAGGGCCTGTAGCATGATGTTATGAAGGGGCCCTAAATAAAAAAAACAACACGTACATATTAAAACACACATTTTTTTACTTGCATAGTCAAGTAATTGTATGTTTTATTTTGCTGTACAGCCAGATAATACGACAGATCGCTAACCTTGAACACCCAGTCGTTCATAAAAATTAAAGACAGTATAGTTCTATAGTAATAGAGCAAGTGCAGAATCACTGAACCGGAATTGATAGCTTGAAGGCGTTTAGCGCGGGACCCTTGAAAGTGCGGGGCCCGTAGCATTTGATAGTTTTGATACTCGGATAATCCGGCACTACCCCCCCCCTTGCTTTCAGCAGTTTTCCAAACTCCAGTCCTCGCGACGTCTTTTCCGGGATTACCAATTTACTCCACCAATTTACACACGTCCCAACGTGCCGAACGAAGCGATTCCGGGCTGTCTTCATTGATAATGAATATCCGATTCAGATTCAGATTGAGATCTCAATGTGCATGTGCTTACCGCGGCACGCGGGACAACGTACAGCGTGGAACGAGTTCAGAGTTGTTGTCATTACATTAAGGCCTCTACAGTATTTACTTTGGGGATGCTTCCCTGGAGAGCGCGACCTAAGGCAAAAACAACGTACATTGAAAGCTATTTCACGATTGACTTATTTATATGAAGGTGGAATATGTCCCTGTGGATATATACGTATATAGATGCCTCAAATGCCTGGTAGGTATATATCTAACACGCAACCTCTGAATAATCAACAAACCCTATTTCCACGCTTCTTTTACTGTAAAATAGCCGATGGCCACACCACAACCCAGCCTCATTTTTTGAGATCTGAACTAGAGAAACTAAATCTCATAATTTACAATCAGTTGTAGAATACTGCTCATAAACTTGTATGAAAAACAAAACACATCAATATATGTTCACAGATGGTTGTGACTTTGAACCAGAGTAGATTGGACTTGAACTCTTTTCACCTGAATTCAACTGCTCCCTCGATGCATTGCTCAGTTGCTGCTCTGTGTCACGACGCGCTGGCGTTTTGCAAGGGTGGGACGTTAAACTGAGGTCCTCCCTTCCCCGAGGATATTAGAGAATCCGCAGCAATGTTTGATAAAGAGCAGGGAGGGGGGGGTGTAGTTTTAACCCCGAGCTCTAGGGCTCGATACAATCTTGGATCTAGGAAAAATTGCTGCCCTCGCCTGGTTCGTTAATCCAACTCAGGTGTGACTTGGTAGTCCCCTGTTAACGAGACATGTGCTTCGCACGACGAGGTACCTTAAGAGACGGGTAAATAAATTAGCGCCACGTTCGATGGGGTTGTTGGCGGTAGTTTCCTCGGTGAATGCACAATTCCGATGTGGGGAATTTGCACGCTATGATGCCTTGCCCGGTCCTAAAAGGTCAAGGGAAGGTCATTCTGTTTAGAGGAGTGCACAGGAACAGCCCTGGCATGCAAGTGGTGAGATCAGATTCAAATCAGGATGTTTGAAAAAAAATGCAAACGTTCTTCTCTGGGAAGGTTTAGTTATTTCTATCCTTGGTCATGATGCTTGTGGGTCTTTTGATCAGTAACATCAAATGGGGTCAAATCACATGGTGTGTGGATCGGGATGAATCTCTTAAAGAGGGCACTTTAATGCCGAATGCAGCCGGTGACCATGTCATTTTCTCAGGAAATTGTTGCGTCCAGAAATCTGTTCTCAGAAACGGCTTCTTGAACTCTGCAACCACAGCATATGGTTGCGGTGTTGTGTTACAATTTAACAGAATGGACAGACATCCTTTAGAAAGATTACCACTGGACACAAACAGTTTAACACCTGAGGTCAAAATCCTGATCAGTGCCGTTGATGCCACTGCACTTTGCCAGAGCTGCCTTGTTTTTCATCCAGATCCCATAGCTACCCATATTGCCGGCAACTGCCCTCCAAGGTCTGTTTTCACAGTGTCTCATCGCATGGCATTAGGTCCTATCCTTGGCCACCCTCCTCTGGTTGCCCACTCACGCATGGACGCCTCAGTAATTTGCCCTCTTCCAACCTCCATCAAGCCATCGGAAGCTCGTTCCGATAACATCTGAAATTTCATATGTCCCATGTTTTCAGCTGAATTTATGAGTTGCTAAACCCCCGATCCTGCCATGCGATTTTTATGATCTTTCACCTGCACCGATACGCTGAGTATAGCTGGAATCACTGACCTGCACAACACCACACGCACTATCGTTAATTAGGAAAGTTGGCTATGTTCATAGTCCATCAAAAATGTCTACCTTGATATCTAAAAATTACAATACATCTCTCGACCTCCTCGACTTTGCAAACCTCTTCCTAAATATATTGTTCTTCACAATCTCCTTTCCAGTCGAGATACCACGAGTCACACCACTTCCACATCTCAGTCGCTGAGTTGTTTTGGAAAGCTCTGCTGAAGGCCCCAGCCTTAGAACTTGTTATGCAATTCCGTACCCAGGTTGATAGCTAACACGTTGTGCTTGACCTGCTCACTCCACGTTTCTAAGGTAAACATCGGCCATTGTTTCTACTGGGTGACGTGCTGTCTCTACCCTATCCACGGTTTTAGCGAACGCATAGTTGGGATGTACTTTTAATAAAGTGGGTGATAAATTAAATCACTGCCAATGACTGGTGCTTAACGTGGTCACAAGGGAAATGAAGGAGTCCAAGTATGAACATATTAAATCTGCAGCTCTTTTTAACTTTCAATTCGCCTCTGCATTGATGATGCAACCTCGTGGGTGCCTCATTAAAAAGAAAGGGAAATCAAGGGCTGATGCTCAAACTCCGTACAGATTTGAGATGAGATGCCTGATTCTACAGGCATCTCATAGCCCTTGCAGCTGAGTGCTTCATGCGCACCATGGCTTCATCGCCGCACAATTTACCTGCGAAGAGGGCTGTGTCATAAAGTGCGCGTCGCCAAAGGCTCTCAATACTTCAGGGTGCACAGTAAATGTGTACAAGCCTTCGCGTGGCGAGCGACCGCTGTGAGCTACGGTGACACAACGCTTTTCTGCGCACGTAACTTTCTCGTGAAGATAAAAGTCACCGCCCATATTTAATGAGGGCCTGACCGTACAGCAGAGGTGACGTGACTTTGTGTAAATAAAAATCGCGTTTAAATGCTCCGAATATTGCCATCACTTGTCATCAACGTGGATACAAAGCACAATGCCACTTCCAAAGCAGCAAAAAAATTGCATCTATATATTTTTTACAGAACATCACAATATCAGAGTTATCTTGTCAGTAAAGCATGTATGTCAATTTTAAATGTTACTGTTTTGTTTAATCCGTTTTTAGAGTTTGGTTTATTAAATTTTCTTTGATTTTAACTATGCAGTACAGGTGGGCATTTCTTCAAAACGTCACAGGGGGTTGTTTGTTTTCATTGGGAAACCATTCTGACTGTAAAGCTGCTCTTACCAAGGCTGCAAAAAATACTGCACTGCAATGTGGAGAACCTGACACATTTTCCCACCAGTGGACTGTTACGCCGCCAGGAAATCACTCCCAAGGGCTAACGTTTGCAATCGATAAGCATGGTGGAGCACTCGGCCAACCTGTTAAATGGGTAGAGCACATGGCCGCACCCATTACGTTAACCAATCAAAGCCTGGCTGGAGTGAGAGGAATGGGGCAGCGACGTGGTTCAGTGATGGTGCTTCAGCTGCTGGTTGTGGAGGTTTGCGGTTAAACTCAGTCAGGTCACCATGGCTGGTCACGCGGGCGTATTAATCGTAAAATACGACTTCACTGGACGTTCAGGGACCCGGAGAAAAATCCACGCGACCACGGGGAGAACTTGCGAACTCCAAATGTACAGCAGGCGTCAGGGTCGAACACACGACCTCCTGCATACCAGGCGAGGGAGATAACATCTCGCCACCGCGGTGCCCCCATTAGGTGAATTGCAGTAGTCCACCAAATAAACTTCTACAGTGACAGGAACATTTCATCATGTCAAGAATGACCGCGGTAGATGATTACTTCACTCGGCCTCGTTCAACCGATGCCCAATGTAGCTCACTGAACCCATGTAAAGCATATTAGTCACCTAAAACATGCAATAGATGTATAACTAAATCTCACTGTTGGGATATGTGACGTTAATTGAAACAAAACATTTTAGATAATTTTCCTGTGTGAATTCAATGGTGACTGGGCTGATGAAACACCTAAGTAGCCAAATTGTAATAATAATAATTATTATTATTACTACTCTTTATTTAGGAGTATTATTAAAATCTTCAATACTACTTTTAAATACAATTTAAATGTAGTAGTATGTCCAAGGTCATGTTTTGAATAATGTTCATGTTGAAAAGCAATTATTTTTGTTCTTTGAAAAAAATAAAATGAAAGCAATTTTTTTAACTGGAACATTAACTTGCAAATGTCTCATAATAGCTTGTTATCAAGCTAGAGTGCTTAATTAAATAACTAACCACAAATTACTTTTTTTCCCGTAAAAAAATCCTGCCAAAATCGGTCATAGTTGCGCATCACAAATGCCTTTCCTTATTGAAGCAATAGCAATTTATATTTGTTATATACATGGACA